TTAAGATTGGGCCCAGAGTCTGAATGGAATGTAGACCATAGACTCAGAGCACTTATCCCAAAACATGAGTCTGGTGTGATGCAGCATGCTGTTATTTAGTGTCTGATTCCATTGTTAAAGTAAATGAATATGCTAATCTGTCTTGCATTCAACTCTTTAACCTGATTTTTTTTGGTTCTTGTTGTAAGTCTGAGGTTAAATCCCTTTCACACTTCAAATTGAAACCCCTCTCTCTCTTGCAGAATGTCAGTCGGTGCACAGAGCCGTCCTGTGGCTCGACGTGAACAAACTAGAGGCTTTTGAGGTCAGCTTCTGCTCCGACAGACCTCTCACTGTGAAGGCAAAGATTTCAGTGCAGGTCAAGGACAACCAGTACAGCAATACCATCATTTTGGTGACAGCGGAGGCTTACCAGGAAATCGTCTCACTCGATTACATCAGCAGGCCGATTCAGGACGTGGATCAGGAGGAGGAAGGAGAAGGTGGGAAAGAGCGGAGGGAGTAGAAAGAAGTCCTATTAACAGAAATATTGAGAAATATTGTAAAAAGAAAGGAAGTGTGTAAACGGGAATTTACCTAAAAGGCCTGTTTCTTTTCCAAGGGAACTGTGAGGTGCTGAACTTTGGTGACTGCCATGTAGACTGCCAACACCAGGAGAGTTTCACCTTGATCAACCACAGTAGCGACCAGGTGGTGAGATTCGAGTGGCCTCCTGGCGGATCTCATGTCAGCTTTTCACCTCAGGTAAAAAAAAAAAAAACTGACACAACAATTAGGACTCGGATTTCATACTTTAGTCTCACTACACAGTGTGAAAACACAAAACAGGTGCAGCATCATAATTCAGAATTCATATTCATTCATTCAGAAGTAGAAGGATGGCAACTTTACAAATGGCTGTTTTATTTGGCCTCATATCTGTCTTCACTGTAAGCTGAACAGGTTCCCTGATAACACTTGGCCGTGTGTGATGATAGAAATCCTCTCTGTTTGCAGGTCGGGCACCTTCATGCTGGATGCTCCAAAGAAGTGAGCGTTATCTTTTGGTCCAGTCAGCTGGTGACTCTGAAAAGCAAGTCAAAGAAATGCAAGTTTTGCCGGGTGGAGTTCCAGCAGCCTCTGGAGCAGGTGGCCGACTGGGACGACCGGCAGAGGACAGTACAGTGGCAAAGCCCTTCAAAGGTTTCTGAAGCACCGCAGCTGCCTGTGGCCAGCAGGATACACCCAGCCCCAGTTTGTCTGACAGACAGATGGACGACGTATAGATAATCGTGTTCGTATCTGTGCCTGCCTGCAGGTGGTGCAGACCGATCCTGAGCCCAGCTGCTCTGTGGTGGATGGCTCTCAGTGGGAGCTGGATTTGCTCATCAGTGCAGTCTGTGACTATGCCAAGTTCAGCTGCTCCAACAACACCATCCACTTCAAAGACACAATGCTTTTTCAAACCAGGGTTCACCAGTAAGTCCGGTTCTGGCTTCTAAATACTGTCGTCCATGTAATCACATTAGAGACTTTAATACCCAAACCTTAGAGATACAATAATTATTGTTCAATAAAAGACGATGACATGGGCTGAGTTATTCTCTTATTACATACTATACTGTCACATTTATGTCCCCCACAATTTTATTAAGTGTCTTTTTTTAGATGAAATTGTGTACATTGTTTTTGTGTGTGTAAATACAGGCTGCAGATTGTGAACGAAGGCAGTGTGAAAGTAGATTACGCCTGGCAGGTCCTAATGGATTCGAGCAGCAGCTCAGGGAGTCGGGATGGAGGTACGGCACAGAACTACCTCTTCTTCTCAGAGTTAAAGTGATTCAGTCCTAACCTGCACCTCTGCTGTGATGTCAAACAGAAAGGTTACGACTACAACGCCCATTTCACAGCAGTAAATCCTCATCCGATGCTTAAAAGAGTTGCTAAACACAGTCTATGATTAGCAGCAACATGTGACATGGTGTTTAAAGTCCCTCCATGATCCAGCAGTCGGTGGAACCTCCTTCAGCTGCAGGACGCTGGGCCCTCTCTTCTTAAGAGCGTTACTAACCAGCCATGTTTCAGTCTTTTACTAATACCACTGCCATGACCTTTAAACTTCAGCAGGCATGTAGAGTCTGAGATGTAGGTCTTTGGGTTTCTGTTTGCCTTTAAACAAACAACTTCCCTGCTGTCTGTGACAGATGGGAGCCCCACCTCCTGTCCTGGATCGGCAGATTCGCTGCCTGCAGCCCGTCCCTCCAGTGCTCTGCTCAGAGTGGCCACTCTCCTAACGGTGAACCCTGAGCTGCCCGCTTTCACTGTGGAACCCAGTGCAGGAACCATTATTCCTGGTGCCACGCAGGACTTCAGCGTCCGCTTTTCACCAGTGGAGCTGGCTCAGTTTCAGGGAAAGCTGATCTGCAGGTGAACAGACGATCTGTCAAATGAAAAGAGGGTTTATAACTTGATCATTCACAAAGGCAGATGATGCATCTGTGAAAGCTTTTAGTATCATTTTAAATAGAAATATTTTCACTAACAGACTGTGCACAGTGTTCCAAAGGGCTGATGGAGCTCCAGCTCATGAGGCATCGGCATCTTTATGAGCTGGACAGCAGCTGCAGGATTCTGGATTCTTATAATTTCATTCCCTGTGTGTTTACATGTTTTCCAGCATTCCCAACTTGCAGGATGGGGATCTTGCTCCCTGTATCCCGGTGTTTGGCCGTAGCCTGCTGCCCCACTGCCACTTTGATTTTGAGGACTCAGACTACATCAGCGGCCATCGCCGCAGGGTCAGGAGCCCTGTGGACCTCAACAGTCGAGTTTTGGAGTTTGAAGCTGTTGGCTTCACCACACCATCAAAGAGGTAATGAAGGGACAGACTGGAGGTTTGATACTAACTACTGGAAGTGCTTAAAAAATGTGTGTTGCAGATGTTTTAGTGTGCTGAACCCAACCAGTCGGACCTATTCCTTCAAATGGAGGTGTGAAGACGACAGTGCCAGTCCTTTCCGCTGTCTCAGCCCATGTGGCTCCATCCTACCTGGGAAGAGGACTCAGGTAAGACCGAAAAGGAGCACAGAACATCCCAGCCCCCGCTCGGGGTTTGCTCCTGACTTTGAGATAATTCTCTCCTCTGCCCATGTCTGCAGGTGTGTTTTGAATATATTGCAGATCAGCCGGATACTGTGGAGTCCTTCTGGACTTTTGTGATAGAGACTGTGTCGCTATCTGTTCCCTTCCTGTTGGTGGGCACCACCAGAGAACCACTCGTTTATTTTCAGAGGCCTCACCTTGATCTTGGAGAGCTGCTTGTTGGTGTGTAACACTGCAGTACACGCATGGGGCCAGGTTGACAAATATTTTATTATATTTGTCAGAAATCCTTTTTTGGTGAAGAAACAGACAGCCGTGCACACTTACTTTTGATTTGAACATTTTCGCAGCAGTTTGTCAAATACATTGAAAATGGAAAACTCTTTATCATCTTTTCTGAGCTTTGAATCAGGAATCAATTGACCAGCAGAGCTGAAAATGTAATCCTGGCCTTTATGACAGACACAAATTCTACCTATCAAAGCGATTGATCCAGCAGGATCTCTGGTTTTCATATGAGGGGACAATTATTTTTCAAAGCGATCTGATTCCTTTTACTACAAAAAGAGTTTAAATATTGTATTCAGACACCAAAAGATTTTTACAGTCTCCCCAAAAAGTGGCTTGAATTAAGCAGAATTTTCTGGGAATTAATCATTACTTGTTGATTGCTGATTTATTGGTGGATAGATGGCAGATAAGGTTGTGTTCATGGAGAACAGATTATGATATGACTTTTGTTATGAGGGTTCTTGATTATTTTTGTACCAGCTTGAGACAGGAAGATAATTATTTTATGATGACTTAAAGATTAGTAACTATTTTACATGAAGCCCTCCACCAAGTAGAGTGTCATGTTGAGTTCAGAATCATTAATTAATCATGACTGTTGGGTCTGTTGAGTGATTCTGTAGTTTTTTATAACTTCCACATCTTCATGTTTTTATGAGCTTTTCACTTTTTGAGTATTAAGTGGTGAAACATTTTGATCAGCTGCCCGTTCTTTATTGCTTCTACATTTACTTCCCAAAATAGTGTAAATTTGACTTTCATCAGCAAATTTGAGTTTTATTAGATTTGATGAAAAGAGATTTTAAGTATTATACGTCCCTTGTTTTTTTAAATTAATCTGCAAAGTGTTTCTTCATCAAACAAAGCAGTCCAAAACTATGATTTGTAGATAAATTACAGTAAAATGACATGGTTATGTTAGTATTTCCCCACAAAAGAAATGAGCAGAGAAACATACCATAGCCCTCAGTTATCATCCAGCAGCTTTCTGTCTCTGTCTCATCAGCTCAGGTCTGGATTTTGGGATGTTGAACGATCTGCCTGATTCACAGGTGATGCAGATTGTTACTCAGAAATGGTCCAAACGTGTATGTGTGTGTGTCGCACACAGGCCGTCAAGCAGAGCAGACAGTGGCTCTGGTGAACGGAGAGCTGGAGCCCCTCAGCTTCTCTGTCCTGCCGGAATCTCTTCTTTCTGAGGATCAGCTGTCAGGTCTCATTGTGCATCCCATGAGCGGCACGGTGGCACCCAAAGACAGGTGAACACCCCACTGCTGATCTTTGAAAAGGTGGATACTGTTTTTATCGTAAATAGACGGAAAATTGCTTGTGGTTGTTTCAGGCTGCCGCTGTTTGTGTCACTCACGCCTTCCCTGGAGGCCCATGTGAGTTTCAGGGTGACCCTTAAGGTGAAGTGCAGGTCAGAACCACTCACGCTCACCGTTAGGGCCGATTGCTTTGCCATGAGTGCCACAGTTCAGATTGAGCAGCCTGACGGGGGCCTCAAAGATGTTTCCCCCAACCACCAAGACATTTTGGACTTCGGAAAGGTTATCACACTTTCACAATAGAGACAGAAAAATACTTTAAAAAACAAAACCATCCTCTTTTCCCTCAGAGTTTTAATCTCCTCTGTTGGTCTGCATGTACACCACTCATAGGTGGGCATTTCAGAGCAATCCACCTTTAAGTTGCTGGTGTCCAATTGTGCAAGATTCAGCCTTGAGGTGAACTTTGAATTAATGGGTCCCGGAGATCTTCTTCAGCACTTGGAGGCAAAGCCTCAAACTGCAACCATTGAGGTGGGGAAGCAGCTGCAGTCGTTACTCTTCTTCAGTCCGCAGAACATTTGCAACCTCCAGGACGTCAGCCTTAATGTCAAGGTAGGATGCCAGTGAGGGGGTCAGAGAGCTGAATGTAATTTCTTCTGTCTGCACTCATTACGTCTCTTTTATGTTTGATTTTTCCTGTCAGGTGAAGTTTGGGCCAACATTTACATTCACCGTTAAAGGTGGGGCGGTAGCACCCAGCCTGGAGTTCTCCTTCAACAAGTTCAACTTCGGCAGGTGCTTCCTGTCCTGCCCCGGCATGCAGCCGCCGTCCCAAACTCTGGTGATAAGCAACAAAGGGAGGAGAGACGTCAGGTATTCTGCTTTCTCCCCATGGGAAGCACCAACGTTAACGTGAAGGAGAAGTGAATGGAAAAGGAGGCCGAGATGGTAAAAAGAGCTGTGAGACCAACCCCCTGTCCTCTCTGTATCCTCATCAGTGTCCAGTGCCTGTTCAAAAACACACATTTTCTTAAGATGGACTTCCAACCGGACATTTTATCCCCTGGTACTGCAATCAGGGTACCGCTTACCTTTTATCCATCTGAGGCACGTCGATACCACGAGAAGCTCAGCTTCATCCTGAACAGCTGCGTCACAAGACAGGTGGAGGTTCTGGGGCAGGGCACTGAGATGAAGGTGAGCAGGAGGAGTGTGTGTGCATCTGACACTGATCCTAGGATTTAAGGAGGTGGGATTCCCATCAAGAAGCTGCATTAAGCTGCCAACATAAATGGATACAAGTAAATAACAAAGCAGCAGGTGACAGAGCTTCTCTCTGTAGAAGCTGTAAAACAGGCTGACACATGTCTATGTCTCTGGTATTGGCAGCATAATTTAAACACTTTTGTATGAAATCAATACAGATGCATAAAAGCTCCAGTTTCATCACGTTTCTATAAATCTCCATCAAACCTCAGGATGGCAAAAGGCTCCGCTCACATGAGCTGTTAAATCCTGTTATTGGACTGAATGCTTCCCTGGCATGGTAACGGGAAGCAGGGTTATGGTTTGGTTACACAGTCCATACAGCCGGGAAAACTCACATTATCACAGCTGTCAGTGAGCGTTTGCTGTTTCAATGTCATGTCCCACGTCAGATTTAACGAGCCTTATTAGAATTAGGTCTGAATCTAAAATACTTTCTTTGTATGGCAATTGAAATGTATTACACTGTATATATTTGTTTCAACAGTTTATATTTTATTAATATGTTTATGACATTTGTCTCCTAATATTGATGTTTCTCTATAGTTTTCTGTTAGAAAGATCTTCGTAGTCCACAATCTGCAGTAATATTAGGATACAAAAAATATAATTTGATTTATTTTCCAACATGAACTAATCATTCTTGTCATTTTAATTTCCTACCTAAATTGCAATCTAATTCAATTAGTCCATGTTCCCAAATTCAAGAAATCATTATCTCTTTAGATTCATTCTGGTTAAGACTTTCAGGTAAAGATATTCTTTTCTTGTATTTCTTCTTTTTTTTAAACATTTTTCTTCAAAAAATGTTTCCTTTAGTATGAGGTGACTACTGTTTTGTTAAACTGAGTTCAATCCAGCACATTTACAAAAGACGAAAGGTAAATCCTCTGTTATTCCAGCTGGAAGTGGAGGATCCTCGCCAGAAGAAGGTGAAACTGGGATCTCTGACTTTGGGTCAGAAGGTGACAAAGCAAGTGGTTCTAGTCAATCGCAGCAGTTTGGACCTCTCATTCACCCTGACGCTTAATGCAAATACACCTCTGGATCCAAAGGTGAGACAAAAGATGGGACAGTCTAAGAACAAGCAGGCCTCCTTTTGAGCAGCACTGAATGCCACCGTCTTTTCCTGCAGGATCTGTCTGTGAGACCAGCAGGCGAGCTGAAGCTCAAATCTGCCGGCGGCTCCTGTCAGGTGGAGATTCAGTTCTCGCCTCGTCGGCACGTTCCTGCCTTCAGCGCTGAACTGCAGGCGGAGTTTGCAGGCTTCTTCCACCCCCTGCTGACCGTCCAAGGCTGCTGCCTGGTAGGCAGTCCATGTTATGCACCCATCAACCATAACATTATGACCACTAACCAGACTAAAAACTAAATACATGCTGTTAATTTCAGTTTGACTTTTTTATTTTGTGTGCATAAATCTGACGTTGCCTGAAAGAAGGGATATTAACCACCGGCTCCTTTTAAACCCATCAGGGTGTGGAGGTGCTGCTGGACCCGAACCACCTGTCCTTTGGTGCTGTGGTCCAGCGCTGCCAGGCCAGCAGACGGATCATTATGGTGAACATTGGTGACATTGGCGCCAGGTAAAGTCTCCATAAGATTAAGCTGCTTGCAGACCTTTATAGGAAACACATCCACTCTGCGATCATTGTCAAAGGAAATGTCCTGGCTGAATTTAAATCGGCCCCTGTTCTTCCCTTATTACCAGATTCCACTGGAAGACTGAGAATTTCCCCGCAGAGCTGTCCATCACACCAGCAAAAGGATATATCTGTCCGGGGATGGAGGTTCCCTTTGAAGTGACTTTCGCTCCAGTTGAGCTCAGTAATGACAGGAGATATGAGGGCCTGTCTTGCTCTCTGGAGGGCTCCCCCCCACCCGTTCTGCTCACTGTCACAGGCTCCTGCATTGCAGCCTCCACAACACAGGAGGTGAGACTGAAGCTTCTTTTCATCTATTTGCTATTCTTATTAAACGTAGAAGATAAAAACATCAGAAATAAATATATAATAATAAATAAGTTGCCTAAACTGAACTTTTCAAGCTTGACCATGACCTGGATGACTGAGAATCTTCACAGATATCAAAAATTAAAAAAAACAATGCAGGTATTTGATTGTAGTCTAATCCACTGATCCGATTTTAAGAGGTGAAATTAAGTTTAATGTTTCACATTTGGTATAAAACCTACAGGAAAGAGCTGGTTAGAAATCCAACCATCCTGCTGCTAAAGGTGGTTCTACCAGCTGGGGGTTTGTTGATCTCTTGTTAAATTTATGATGACGTGGCTGCATTAACATGGCTTTAGGACAACGCTATTTCAAAAAGCAGATCATTAGCTCCAATTCAGGGAATGCCTCTAGCATCCTTGACATCAACATGAGTGAGAGACAAAAGCTAGAGAAAAACAGCAATGTCAGCGGCCTCCAACAATGGACTCCAAGCTGTAAAACACAGCCCTGATAACCTCCACAAGAGAGCCGCTGACCTGAAACCTGAGGCAACACAGAGAGAGGCTAGCCAATTATCAGAGCCTCCTAAACAAAATGCAAAAAAAACGAGAAGAAATACAGGTCTGATACATCTGAAGCACTGGAAGCTGCCAAACAATCACTCTTAGATCAGGCTAAATTCAGAAAACTAGAGAAGAACCCAGAAAAATAAAGCTATTCAGCACTGCATCCACACAAGGCAGAGGGTGATGTTTCTGTGGACCTAAAGGAAGCATATGCCCCAGGAGCCTGGCTAAAGAAGCTAACTGCACACCAGACTGGCTAACACAAAGTCCAACAGTCCTCATGACAAAGGAGGAGTTCCATCCAACCACTATCCGTAACCGGCTTTTAGCACATCAGAGCTCCAACATCTGACACACAGAATGCTGCTCTGTGGAGGCTTGTTTCCCTTCAGTCAGATCATAACTAACAGTGGCTACAGAGAGAAATAATTGAAGACAACGTCATCCGCTGGTGTTGTTCATCTTTTTTAATGACTGTCATAACATGCTTTAATTTCAAACCTCACAGCAATAAGTATAAAAGAGTTTCACACATAAAAGGTTTTTGTCATTAAACTGGAACAAATCTTCTCTTTTAATACTGACTGTGAACCTTTTTCCATAGTCGTAAAACCCATACGATGCCGTGTCAGTGCTGTTGCATCTCAGTACAGGAATTGGTAAAGCACAGCGCCAGATAATGTGAGACATTGATTTGGCTCATTTGGAGAACTCAGCAGGTTTTGGCAGATTTAAAGATTTATTCAAAGTTCCAGTGAGTTTCAATTAGCTGAGTACCCCCGGCGACTGATAGCCTGGGAATCGGACAAATGTGTGAGCTCATGTTTCATTTCCACTTCAGAAATTGCATTTGTGCGTTTGTCTGCAGAAGGCAAGAGGTTTAAGAGAAGGCTTCAGAGTCAGTATGATGCTGGTTTCTCAAATTTGAGGTCTTATAACCCTAAAAATACGGTTGAAATGAGACCCTGAAGTTTAACAGCAGCGAACAGGCTGTGGAGCCTGATTTGTTTAACTTTTGTTGTTTTGCTGTGTTTTGCTCTCCAGGTGGTGAATTTTTTTTGCCCGGTGCGCAGCTCTCAAACCCAGAGCCTGTCTGTGATCAATCCCACCAATCAGCGCTGCTGCATCAGGCCGCTCATTGAGGGAGAACAGTGGAGAGCTGCGCCCATCGTGACCTTTGAACCCCACCAGAACAAGGCTGTTGATATCACATACCGTCCTCTCACCATGACCACTGAAGGAAAGAAACATCTGGTAAAGGAGAGATTTCAGTCAAATGGTGCTCTGCTTTAAACTGCTGAACACAAGTCCTGATCCAGCCCTCCACTCTGTATGTTAGCCTCCAAAAAAAAGTTCAAAGTTCGTAAAGGAATGGTAATAACAAACACAGTTAATCGGATTTTTAAAGGCAGCAACAAGCTGATTCCTAAAGAGCTGTAAGCTGAAAAGCTGGTGTGCAGAGTGTCCTTTAAATATTTTAGGAAACTGGACAAGTGGAGGACAAACATTTTTACTATTTACCTGACCAGCAACGTAAATTCATTTCACCAGTAAAAAAATCTTGATGAACACTTCTTTTCTCTCCCTCAGGGATCGGTTTTCCTCTCTTTTCCTGAGGGGAGAGGCATGCTGTACTCCCTGCATGGAACTGCTGATCCCCCCAAAGCTGAGGACAACATTTCGATCGAGCTGCCAGCCAAATCGCTCCAATCACAGCTGCTTACTGTGAGCAACTGGCTCTCAAAGCAGCAACGGTAAAAAAAAATGACAAAAATGCCAAGTCACCTGTTGGCTGAACCTGTGTCTGTTTACTTTTTGTAAGCTGAACAATACCAGAAGAATACTTGATTATGTTTTTAACCCTCTGAGACGTCTTAAATGACACATTTACTGGTGGAAGACTGGCTTACATTCAGTGTCCTGAGGGGCTCTTTTGTGTGTTTAAACTCAATATAAGGGCCAGATTTAAGGGGCTCTGGCCACAGCGTTTCTTGTGGTTAGAAACTCCTCGATTTACTGCAAAAAAATGCTGCTTGGTTAACTGTTTAGAGGGGTGCACGAATCTTACTACTGTGGATTTAGCTGGTAAAACTTCCTATCATTCTGATTACCAACATAAGACAGCAGGGACGATATTAAGCGATTTATTCAATACAAACAAAACACAGATAGAAAAGAAACTGCTGGATAAAAGCTTTCATTTTTCAGAAAAGCTACTTTCCCAACCATTCGTAGAGAGGAAACAGAGCTGTGGTGGCTGGCTGTTCCACAGGGAGCCGCTGAAAACCACGTAAAGCTCGAAGACATGTAGCTTGATCAAAGTCAGTTGTTCGGGTCACAGGTGCACCTTCAGCCATCGACCCGAATCAATCCTCCATTCACTCAAAGAGCCTGAACTAAAAAGGCTCTCATCTGAGCCACATTTGATTTATTCCTTACGATAACGAGGGCATTTGTGTATGTTTGAATCTGCTGCAGGTTGATCTGCAGCATGATGTTTATTATGGAAATGTCCCTAATCCTTTATGAGGCGCAGAGGCAGAACCACATGGCTAGTTGTTTTGAAGAGAGGCTGCATGGAGATAAGCTTTTATCCAGTTTGACTGGACTAAAAACCATTTTGTCAGCGCGTTCCTGCCACCAGAAAGCACTGATTGACTGATGCGCATGTGCAGCCAGACTCTGTGTAACTGACCCAAATAGCATGCTCAGAACCGGGTGTTGCAACTGCCCCCGTCGGCTTAGGCAGAAACCAGGAACTGAGCTGTAGTATCACAACCTCACCAAGCTTGCTGACACATTAAAAATAGTAGAGAAGGTCCCAAAAACAGGGCTGACAGCTCACCAAAACTTTACTCTTCTTTTTGTGAAAGGGAAAGAAATAGACGATCTGTAATGCATGCTGAGCAGGTGAATGAGTTTCTGTGATCTCAGGTTCCACGTGCTGATGGAGACGCTGAAACCTGAGAAACCCGATGCTACAGTGTCACTCAGGGGTCTCAAGTACATGGATGTGCCCGCTCACGCCAACAGGGACTACAATCTGTCCTTCTCTGCATACAAAGAGGGGCATTACAGCACCAAGGTGTGATCATCAGCTCATGTCTGAATGTGCGTCCGCTTGTGTGTGTGGACTGTAACACCGGCCTTTGATCACCCCACCCAGGTGACATTTAGTAACGAGAAAACGGGTGAGTACTTGTTCTACCTTGTTACCTTCAAAGTCACGCCTCCTGGGATCCTGTCCACCATCACTCTGGAGACGACCGTTCGGCGGACGGTCTCAGCCAGCATACAGGTGGAGAACCCGCTGACCACGCCGACCTGCCTCAGCACCGAGTGCAAATGCCCCGACATCAGCGCCCCCCCCCAGCACACGGTGCCAGGACTGTCCCAGGTAGACTCAAACACAGCAAAGAACACAGCAAAGAACAAAGTACTCACACTCCAGCTTTCTGTGGGCCTGTCGTCTCTTTGTAGGGTGTTTTGAGTTTTGAGTACCATCCTCTACACGAAGGCGAGTCCACAGCCAGGCTGTCTCTGCTCAGTAATGATCTGGGCTACTTCCACCACGACCTGATTCTCAGAGCTCTGCCCCCACCGCCAGAGAAAACCGTCCACTTTAGCGCTCCACTGGGCTGCAGCCACGCCGTCCCTGTTAAATTCACCAACTACTCCCGCTTCAAGACCGAGTACTCCTGTAAGGTAAGAAAACTCATGCCTGTCGGTGCGTGCTGCTCTTCAATTACACAGAAATGTGATGGATAGAAAGAAAACGTGAAGAAATTAAAGAAAATATAAAGAAATCTAATAGATAATGAAGATTTTTCATTAAATTTACAGAAATTGTGTGTATTGTGGTCATCAAAGAACCTGTCATCTGTGTGTGTGTGTGTGTGTGTGTGTGTGTGTGTATTTGTGTGTGTTGTTCTGTTGTTCCTCCAGACTGATAAGTCAGATTTCATTGTGGACGAAAGCGTTGGGGCCTCTCCAGGTTTCCAGCTTGGCTCGGAGGCCAGGGTGGAGGTTTGCTTTGAGCCTCATCAGCTGGGGGAAGTGAAAGCCCAGCTCAGGCTGTACTCTGGAATTGGGGGCGAGTACATCTTCCCCTTGCACGGGGTGTGCCTACCCCCGAAAGCGCAGGGCCCCTTCAGCATCAGGGCAGGTCGCAGCATCAATATCCCCTTCAAGAATGTGTTCCTGCAGACCACCAGTTTCTCCTTCCAGGTAACGACCACCAGACTCTGTAAATTTGTCCCAGATCTAAGTTAACTGGATGAAAAGGGTGGAAGTTTTCCCTTCATGTCTGATATTTAAGTCCCAGCAAAGTTAAAATCCATTGTCTCTGTCACATTTTGTGTGATCCAAAACAATAGGACCACTAAATTAACTGGGGAGTGATTGTCTCAGCAGGGGGATGCATTAATTGACTCTATCTAAAAAAGCTGCCATTCTGTTTCTTTAGTTTCTCCTTTTTGATGTTTCTTTTGCATCCAAAGACGTTCTGCTTTGTCACATTGCTGAGATTTACACATTATCCTGCTGCTCTCAGGTTGACAACCCTTGCTTCGCTGTCAAAGGAGTGGAAAGCATCGGCCCCAAAAAAACCCAAAACATCTCGGTGTGTTTTGAGGCTCCTCCAGGGGGGGGTTCAGGGCCATGCTTTGGCAAACTGACCGTAACCAGCCAGCGCTCAGAGGGGAGCGGCAAAGTCACCACATGGGTCTTTTACCTGAAGGGCCACCGGCCTGAGTCTTCATAGAGAAGTCTGCACACACTGAATAGCACAAAAACCTGACCGCACAGCCACCTGTTTACACTGAAGGCCTCACTGGCTCATTTGTTCTGGTCAACGTTGTTTATTTATCATTTACATCTCTAAAGCACTGAAGTTGAATGTCACTCATATGTTAAAAAGACTGTTTAGAAGTCGTTTCTTGTCTAATAAATTCTCCAGAAAGAGCTCTGATGTCATTTCACACCCATATCCACATGGGGGCAATCACGTCAAGTGATCCAATTTCCACCCCTCTGCCCCCTTGATGGGACAAGATACATCATTTGCTTCACTTTATTGTCTTTTGTTCATTCTGTCAGAGTTTTAGCAGGATTTAATTTGTCCAAACCACCGCTGTGTGCTCTCAGACACATGGCACATTGAAGAAAAGACTTTCTAACCTGTGGAAAGGGCAGAGCTGGGGGAGTCTCTCATTACCAAAGGTTAGCTCTGTCACATCACACACACATAAACCTCTAATGAGGAGCCGGAGTGACAGTTCAGGAGACACTCCTTTTACTCCATGCGACAGAAAAAAAAGAAAAAAAAAACTCTGATCCTCCTTTGGGACCCAGTAATCTTCACAAGGCTGTTTTTATTGAAGCTAAAAGGAAAAATGTCAGACATGTCAAACCTGAGATAAAACAATCCATTAATGTAGAATTCCCTCTGCTGTTTGGCAGCCACCCCTGAGAGGTGAGTGCACTTCACTACAACCTGGACTGATGCAATCTAACAGCTCACAATAAAAAACTATCTTTAATTTATCTTTTTAGGACGAGTTACAATACTAGTATAAAGATAAGACGCAGATTTTTCCATGAAGTCAATTAAAGTCAATCAAAGTCCCCATTCCTGATTTAAGTCCGTACACAGATGTGCGTGCAGACCGTATTGAGTTGTCTGTAGGATGGGGTGGGTGTGCTTTGGGGAGGGTGTTGTGATGTAAGAAGGGAAATGTGGGGGGGGGGGGGGGAAGGGGGTGGGGGAGGGTGCTCCTCTCTCTCCCCCATAGAGCGCAGCATGAGCGCTCCGCAGCAAAAGGATGTGTGAGCAGGCAGCGCGCTACTGTAGGGACGGAGTCCACAAACTGCTCAACAAAGAACAAGCCAAACTTCGTGCCCAGGAAAGCCGCGAGCAGCCGAAACCCGTAGCCGGTCAGGACAGCGAGTCCGCGACGGCAGCGCAGTCCGGAAACAGCGGCGCCCAGCCCGGTGGAATCGACGGGCTCGTCCGCTGGATCGTCACCAAAATGAGCGACAACAAGAACATCTCCAGTCGGGAGTACGCCTCCAGCAAGGAGGAGGTGGCCGTGGCTCAGGAGCAGTTCTTCGCCCCGGAACCGCGGAGAGGCATCTCTGTCATCCTGGATGTGAGTATGAGCCGGCGGGCTGGGCGGGACGGGGGCAGCCGCGCACCGGTGCAGTGCGCACTTACGCACAGGCAGTTTGGGGCGATCTGCAGGGTTGTCTCCCAGTCCGTTTGGGTGGGTGTCCGGGATCCAGCGGGGGGACTTCCCTGCCCATCCCTCTCCCTGTTGCACGGTCCTTCATCACATCACTGACTTGTGTTGTTCTAAACTTCTTTATGGGACCAGTAAAACAATACTTCACGTTTCATTTACTGGACCACTTTCTGAGTCCGTGCAAATAAAGTCCCACAGCAGCAACACTGGACCCACTTTGTCTCACTGCAGTCAAATCTGAACATCAACCCTCTTTTTTCCTGAGACGCCCACAGCCCATCTGTGCCATTACCTTCATTTGACCAGAGGCTATTCAACTTCCTGCCATGAAATAGTTCATCAAAACAGATCATATTTCCACACTGACCTTTCAAATTTCCCCCTGGAGATTGCCGACACTACTAAAATGGAGTAGGAAACAGAAGTAGATCGTATCTGCAGACCCTAAATAGATATGGGTTTATAACCGGAGGGCCAATTTTAATTCATTTATCCATTAAAACTCCTTTCACGGCTCCTTAAAAGAAAGAGCCCCAGCAATTCCCTTAGAGAAAGTACTTGGCTGATGAATCCAAGTACCCCAGTAAACTAATTCTTTGAGTATGCAGAGGAGGTGTAGCCCAGTTTGCAGCTGACGCTCCCTTTCTGTGCAGAGCTCCACCTCAGCTTAGGATTCCTCGTCTGCTTTTTCACTCAGACTGTAGCGAGCCTTCAGATCTCACTCTGATCTTATCAAAGTTCTCCTTTGACTGCCGACACCCTTTGAGTGACAGCCGGCTATCTGCTTTAATCTAACGTCCAGCTGATGCTCTGACATCAGCTCTGAACTCTTTCTGGCATTTTCTCTGCTGCTTTCTGCATCACATCCACCTCTGAAATGTTAATGGTGCTGCCATTTCCCACCCCTACTGACCCTGCCATTATCACGGAGTGGAAGTCAACACCAAAGGGGTCCACCGGTGTGTGCGCTCACACCTGCATGGAGCATTTCCCTTATTAGTCCCTCTGCTTCCTTGTTTCTCCTCCTTTGTTGCCCCCATCTTCTCTTTCATTTGAACCTCGCTGCACCTTTCTGACAGCTCTTTACACCCTCTTTATATCCTCTCTTTCTTATTGGTCTCCCCTTTGTGTCTCCTGTTATCTATTTTTAATTAGGTTAAGAGATAGATGCAACACGTTCCCTCCCTCTGCTTCTGTTTCTATTTTATTCAACGTTTTCAGCTTCTCCTTGTGTTTTTTTTTGCGATTGTTTCTGTGATAACTCTTTACAAACACGCCGCCTCCGCACCGCAACACTTTTCCTCTCCTCTCCAGGCGTCAGTGTCTGGGCAGCTCGGGGCCAGGCTCCTTTTTGTGGAGCCGAGCACCCCCCAGGGTGCAGCCGGAAAGCAGAACAATGCAGAGCAGCTTGTCATTTGGAGCTCAGCTCGGCACTAATGATTTTTGCTTTGGCTGCAGTTGCTGCGCTCTGAGTTTTATAGCCATAACCCTGTTGTGCAACAATTTATACAATTATACTATACTATTCTTGCATTTGATTAATTTATGTGCAGACTTTCCTTAAATCATGATAAACGATTGAAATAAAATGTGGAAACGAATTGTCTGATGTCTCTCCTTATCTGTCCTGCTCATTTATTACTGAAATAATGGTCCCACAGGAATAAAAGCTACAGTTTAGTTTGAATGAATCAGCAGATTTTTCCATTCATTCATAAAGAAATTAAATTAGCGAACCAACTACCCACAGCACAGATCAATTTACTGTCAGATATGACAAGAAAAAACATCAAATCGTAATGTTTCAGGAAGAAAATCTGGAGTGACATAAAAAAAAGAGTACAAATCTACAGCTGATTAATTTTTCTGCAAATTATTACATAAATACATGTATTTATACATGTATGTATGTATATATATAGATATACAGTATTTATATATGTATATGCATGTATACGTATATCTATATACGTATGTAAATATGTATGATGATATAAAAGTTGTTTAAATATAATTCAGATAAAAACATGAAGCATTCGTCACCTGGTGTGCTCTGGTCATATTTCAATTTCAGATCTAAAGAAAGGCGTCTTCCACACATAGATGCAATGAATCATGTGCTTTGGGGCATGGTTATCCACTGGATACGCTGACCTCACAGACAGTTTCACATCTATCTTTTTATTGTCTCCTTCTCGGCACCGACAGGTGAAAATGTCACAAGTAAAAAAAAATCATTTTAGTTTTCATCATTCATTTCTGTCATAATTTTCTATGGCTGTCTTTGACACCCTGCTG